ATTGCCCTATTCTCTCCAGCCAGACTTTCAAAGCTGCTAACAGAATTTGTGATGCATCTTGTTAAATGCCTAGAGTCCTAGGAACTGGGCATTATGGAATGGAATAGAATAGATAGAGCTGGAAGGGATCTTGGAGGTCTTCTAGTCCAGCCTCCTGCTCGAGCAGGAGAACCTATACCATTTCTGTCTAGTCCAGGGGTAGGCAACCTCGGCTCTTTTATGACTCCTGGACTTCAACTCCCAGAATTCCTCGTCTAGTCTCTTCTTAAAAACCTCCAGTGATGGAGCGCCCACAATTTCTGAATGCAAACTGTTCCACTGGTTAATTGTCCTCACTGTCAGGAACTTTCTCCTTAATTCCAGGTTGCTTCTCTCTTTGATCAGTTTCCAACCATTGTTTCTTGTCCTGCCCTCTGGTGCTTTGGAGAATAATTTGATGCCCTCTTCTTTGTGGCAGCCCTTCAAATACTGGAATAGTGCTATGGAAATATGTTTAAATAAGTACATTTTAAAATAAATAAATAAACAAGATGCATCAGATGAAGAAATGCCAACTTAGGTTCAAATTAACCTTCTCCATTCTGACCCCCTCCAGAGAAGTTAGATGTTAATTTCCATTACCCTCAGCTATCATGGTCTTTGTCCACGCTTGCTGTGGATTATGGGAGTCAGAGCACTGAGAGTTTCCCAGGCTAAGAAAGGCTGGCAGAGACAGTAACTGAAGTAAAAGAAAGGAGAAGGAACTAGCAGTTTGTTTTCATGGAATGAAGAAACATAAAACATAGAATCATAGGACTGTTGCTCAAGGCAACAGACCTTAACAGGATATAACAAAATAACAGAGTTGGAAGGGACCTTGAAGGTCTTCTAGTCCAACTCTCTGCTCAAGCAGGAGACCTCCATACCATTCCAGACAAGTGGCTGTCCAGTCCCTTCTTAAAAGCCTCCAGTGATGGAACACCCACAAGCATCAATTGGTTGTCTAGTCTATTTTTGCAAACTTCCAGTAATGGAGCATCCAAAAGAGGCAAGAGGTTCCACTGATTAATTGTTCTTACTGTCAGAAAATTTCTCCTTACTTCTAGGCTGGATCTCTCTTTAACAAGCTTCCACCCATTGCTCCTTGTCCTGCCCTCAGGTGCTTTGGAGAATAAGTCAATCCCCTCTTCTCTGTGACAGCCCCTCAAGTATTGGAAGACTGCTATCATGTCCCCTCACCTCCCATCCTTCTTTTCGACAGGCTGGAAAAAGAGACAATATTCTCTTCTCTCGTTCTTTCCATGCACTTGCTTTCCCTGACTCGTAAGGGTGCCCCAGCAGTGCGCTGACCTTGCAGTAATGCCAACACTGTTGTACATTGAGTGCCAGTGGGGGAAATGAGGTGAGTTGGGAGGGCAGGGAGGAGAAGGATAAAAACCTTTCATCCTTTTAGAATCTGTGAGGTTCCGATTGCAGATCATGGATAGCATTGCGTGCAGCTTGTCTTCCTCCTCCTCGTCATCATCAACGGAGGCAGAGCGGCTGGCAGCTAAGTGGTGGTAGTTAATAGTTACTGCTCAAAAAAATAGTGAAAGAGGAGCATAAGAAAACAAAACGGGCGCCAGGATTGACAATCAAGTCTTAAAAGGACATGTGGTCCTCCCCTCCTTTAGGGGGCAGCATATAATTCCATCTTCATGGATTTGTGGAACTTTTAGTTTCCAACCAATGTCTTCTCTATCCAACATTGAGTTTGTATTTCGCTCATCCAAACGCTGATGCACAATAGTTTTCGTAAGGTTTTAGTTAGCAGATTACTCACTCAATCAAACTTGCATGTAATCCACCAGATTCTGCTCACAAAATCCTTACCTTTTCCTCCATGGAAGGCCATTTCAGGGGCTCACACACCAACACACACAATCCTAGACTAAAGCTAACAAAGCCAAATTTCCACGTTCAGATAATACATTACTCCTATGAATCGTCATACAGTTTATTAACTATAAGTTGGCTTAAAATGTTCATTCAACAATCTAGGATAATGGCCGGATTCTACATCATCATGAACCACAATTGACCCAGCTCCATTTTAACCTAGTTTAGCATGTTACATAATGCAATGAATGTTTTTCACTCATTTCCCACTTTTCTTCTGGAGCAACAGATAAAGCAACATAAAAGGCTGGATTTATTTCTGTTTATCTTTACAGATAGTCCTCAACTTATGATCGGTCACTTTGCAACTGTTCAAAATTACAACAGACCCCCCAAAAGGAGCTTGTGATAAGATGGGCGGCCAATAAATTTTATAAAACAAACATACAAACTTTTTACAGAGGCACAACTGAGTGTGTCTTAACAAACTGCATCACTGTTTGGTTTGGTGGTAGCAGAGCCTCGGATAGAAGGTCCATACAAAGAGTGGTAAGGACAGCCGAGAAGATTATAGGAAGCCCGCTTCCCATTATTCAGGACACTGCTTACAAGCACTATGTTCTTAGAGCTCGAAGCATTGTTAGAGATCCCAGACGCCCACTTCACAGTCTGTTTCTGTTGCTCCCCTCTGGGAGGAGGTTTCGAAGTATTTATAGCAAGACTACTGGATTCTGTAACAGCTTTGCTCCTTATGCCATCTGTCTTGTAAATTCGCAGGATTCTCTTCCCCCCCCCCCGCCGTGTATATATATATACATTTGAACTAGACTGTTGTTTCTCTGTGTCATATCTGTGTGTGTATGCATAATGGTATTTTTTTTGAGAGCTGAATGCAATGAAATGCTGATTAGCGTACATTTAAAGTGACAATAAAGTTTCTAATTCTATTCTATTCTATTCTATTCTATTCTATTCTTGACCTAGTTTCCTAGTTATGATGTCCAGGCAACGCCCATGGTCACATGATCACATTTTGGGCACTCAGCAACAGGCTGGCATTTACGGCCATTTGCGGGTCTGCTATCATATGTTCATGGTTTACTGCATTTTGGTCAGAAATCAGTGTTTACTTCCAGTTTCTGGCAAAAACAGCCCCATACTGCCCAATGGGTTCACTTAAGGACATGGCACTTGCTATTCGATTGCCACATTCAGTGAACAATCGGGGAAAAAAGTGGTTATAAAATCAGGTCTGGTCATGTAGTGACCTGCTTTATGACTGTCATGACTTGGGACTAAATTATGATCGTAATTATGCAGGGCTAAATTATGATCGTAATTCAAGGACTGTCTGTATAACAATCTAATGAAGTCGTTTAAGCTGCGAAATCATTAGAATTCCAATCACTGAGAACAGATAAACTAGAATGGATCTGAAACAGATTCTTCTTCTAGTTCTAATCCATCTGGAGTTGGTCAACTTGCACTCACAGAAAACACAAAAAAAGGCATAAAAATGTCCTTAAAACTCCTGAGCATTATGTCACCAGCCAGTCCCTCTGGCCTGCAAGATAAAGTAGAACCCACCTAGCTGATTTTGATACGATAGTAAAAAAAAACCACGTAATTCAGTATTAACAAGAATAAATTACACAAACCCCAGTGTTATATGCATTTTTCTTCTTGGTGCAAAGATGTCAGAAGAAAACTGGAGGCTTGGCTGCCCTTTCATTTATTTTTGCTGGGACATTCAAACACAGACAAATCTGGTTTTAATCTTACCTCTGGTTAATCAAAGCAATATCCACAATATAGCTTATAAAGCTATTTTATCCCAGCATTTAATCTATAGGTTAGCACAGGGGTGGAAACTCAGTGGTCCTGCAAAGGGTGCCAGAGTTCATTCTTGCAAGATTGTAGGTTTCCCATTCTGATTTAGCAACCCATATAACCTCAACATTAAAACTGCAACAATCTTATATCAGAGAGGTCTTCAAACTTGGCCCTTTTATGATGTGTGGACTTCAATTTCTAGAATTCCTCAGCCAGCAAAGCTGGAAGTTGAAGTCCACACGTCATAAAAGAGCCAAGTTTGAAGACCCCTGTTATATCATTTCCCACAAAAGAATTGAGTTATGACCACCTGCAGGAAGTTTAGTTCTGCCCCTTGTTCTGTGGACATGGAAATCCTGACTGTTAGCTGCCCAGGACTACAGAACAGACTATAGAACAGTCTCAGAGGCTATTGAGAGACTGGATGTCCCCATTTCTCACAGTGTGTACATCATACCAAGAGGATGATATTATACAGGTGATCCTCAATTTACAACCATATTACAGTCATAAATAGTGACAATTGTAAATGACTGACCCAGTTTAATGACTTCTTTGTGTGATGGTTGTTAAGCAAACATGGAGTTTGCAAAGTAGCCGTCCTGGTTGTTAAGCGAATGCTGTGGTTGTTAAGCAAGGACATGGTTTTACAAATAAATAAATAAGTAAATAAATAACGCAAGTAAATGCCAAAAATTGTGATCACACCGCAAACAGCTAGAGATGGTCATATTTACTCATGTGACCACATTTTGGGGGGGACAACTGTCAGAATGTTGAAATCAGGTTGTAATTACACCTCTCCCACCCCCCAGTAGGTTCATTGGAACTTTTAATGGTTGTTAAGCGACTGGTCATAAGTCAAGGATTCCCTGTATATAATTTGCTGTTCATTTAACAGAATAACAGAATTGGAAGGGACCTTGAGGTCTTCTAGTCCAACCCACTGCTCAAGAGTTTAAAAGTGTATTGTATTCTTGCAATCTGTGGCTTATGTTACAAGAGCTTAAAAAAATGGGAGAAGTATCTGGAGAAAGATGACCAAAATTTGATCCTAGACAAGAATGTGTACAAGGTGCAAAGATAAGGAAATCAAGGCTGAAATCGGATGAGGACTAGAATGCTGAAAAGAAAAGTTAGTGGGAAGGCCAGTCATGCATGCAATTGTTTGGTGCATTGTTTGGCCACCAGCTTTGTGCTGCAACAAATGAATAATGTGTGCATGTGTAAGTTTGTGTACAGGTTGTCCTCGACTTACGATCACAATTGGTCATATGGTCACATGGAAGGCCATTGCAGGGCCACACACAACAACACACACAATCCTAGACTAAGGCTAACAAAGCCAAATTTCCATGTTCAAATAGTACATTATTCCTATGGATACAGAATTTCTAACTGCTACACAAGGCGACTGTTAAGACAATCATGCCTGATTTTACTAACTTTTTCTTTCAGGATTGTTTAAGTCAAGGGTCTTCAAACTTGGCCCTTTTATGACTTGTGGACTTCAACTCCCAGAATTCCTCAGCCAGGCATGCTGGCTGAGGAATTCTGGGAGTTGAAGTCCACAAGTCATAAAAGGGCCAAGTTTGAAGACCCCCCCCCCATTTAAGTGAATCACTGCAGCTGTTAAGTGAATCCCCCTCCTCCCCCCCACTTGGCTTGTTGGAAGCCAGCTGGGAAGGCCACAAATAGTAATCACATGACCTTGGAATGGTGGTAAATACATTCCTGTTGCCAAATTACATGTTCATCAAGCAACTGTGGGGATGCTGCAACGGTTGTAAATGCGAGGATTAGTCATAAATCTCCCCCCCCATGCCATTGTAACTTCAAACAGTCACTAAATGAAAGGTTGTAAGCCAAGGACCACTTGTAATACTTAAGCAATTGTAAGTTAAGTAATTAATTCTATTTATTTATTAAATTTGTATGCTGCCCAACTCCCCAAAACTTTAATAAAGATTTTTATAAGTTAATGGAAACTCTGTTTGCTGTGTGTTCTTTGGAGCATTTAATTATCACCCAAAATTGCTGGAAGTCAGGTGGCAAAAATTTAATAATTACAAATTATTATTACTCTAGGACTCTGAAGTTACTGTTGGTTTTAAAGTTACTTAAACAGATAGTCCTCAACTTACAACCATTCATTTAGTGACCGTTCAAAGTTACAATGGCACTGAAAAAGTGACTTATGATAGTTTTTACACTTACAACAATTGCAGCATCCCCAGGGTCATGTGATCAAAATTTAGATCTAGGTAGTCCTTGATTTACAACAATTCATTTACTAACCATTTGAAGTTGCAACGGCACTGAAAAAAGTGACTTATGAGCATTTTTCAAACCTACAACTGTTATAGCATTCCCATGGTCACGTAATAAATATCTGGATGCTTGGCAATATCTGGTTCATATGTATGACAGTTGCAGTGTCCTGTGATCCTGTGATCACAGTTTGTAATCTTTTGACGAGCAAAATCAATGGGAAAACGAGATTCACTCAACAACCATGTTAAATTAAATCAAATCAATGGCAGTGATTCACTTAACAACTGTAGTAAGAAGGGTCGTAAAATGGGGCAAAAATCAATGTCTAACAAATGTCTCGCTTAGCAACAAAAAATTGGGGCTCAATTTTGATCGTAAGTGGAGGACCACCTGTATTGGACAAACTGACTCATATTTATGAAGGTTGCAGTAGCCCGGGGGTCATGGGATCACTTTTCGCGACCTTCTGACAAACAAAATTAATGGGGAAGCCAGATTCACTTCACAACTAGCTTAACTTCACAACACACTAATTGAATCACTGTAGTGACTCACTTAACAACTGTGGCAAGAAAGGTCGCAGCATGGGGCAAAACTCACTTAACAACTGTCTCACTTTGCTACAAAAACTTTGGGCTCGGTTGTGGTCGTAAGTTGAGGACTACCTGGGATTCATTTCAAAAATTTGTTTGGATGAAATGCGAGGATTGCCAGCATCAATTTCTGCACGCGGCCCTTCCCATACAGTCTGTGAAACCGGAAGACTAGAAATCCTTACTGTTCTCGTGTCTGTGGCCTGGGTAAATAATCCTGAAGACATAATCTGTAGCTGTCTCCATGACTGACGGCAGTTCCTCCATGTCCATCGACCGGCTGTGGCTGTTCCGTTTCCGGAGCTTTGGAAAAACTTTGCCCTGCAAAAGAAGGTGATGTGAGACTGGGCTGAACCCGCCACATCTAAAGATGAAGTAGGCAGGTAAGCAGAGAGGACCAAAAGCCAGGCATGTTACCTAAAAGATCTCTTGGGGAATAATAATAGAACTGGAAGGGACCTTGGAGGACTTTTAGTCCAGCCCCCTGCTCAAGCAAGACCACCCTAAACCAGTGGTGGTGAACCTATGGCATGGGTGCCAGAGGTGGCACTCAGAGCCCTCTCTGTGGGCACATGTGCCATTGCCCCAGCCTTGCCTCCCCCCGCAACCCCCTCCTCACCAGCAACCCCCCTGGAGGAGAGTTGCCCCTGACCGTGGCCCACATGGAGCAGCGCAGCCAAGGACATGGCAGCCAGGCAGTGTAGACAAGACTCTACCCTCACACCCCAACATGCACCGTTGATGCTGCGGGGCGCGGGCAGAGGGCGTGGCTGCCATGGCGCTGCTGGGCTGCCATGGCGATCTGCGGCAGGCCTGGAGGCGGTGAGGGCCTTGTGGGCAGGCGGGGTGGGGGCCAGTTTTTGGGCACTCGGTCTCTAAAAGGTTCGCCATCACTGCCCTAAATCATTTCAGACAAGCGACTGTCTAGTCTCTTCTTAAAAATCTCCAGTGATGGAGCGCCCACGATTTCGGAGGGCAAGCTGTTCCACTGGGAGGTTGTTAAGAAGGAGCCAAGTCGTTAAGGAAACAAAAGAAAACAAAATGTCTCCTGAACCAGACAAGACGTTGGGTCTGATTACAGGGGAAACCCCTCTCCAAGTCCCATCAAGAGCTACCAGATTTGAAAACCAACAAGGCAAAAGCAGCTGTGGGTTTTCAGAATCCACAAAGCAAGGACTTTGAGGGATCAATGGGGTCCTGAAGCCCACCTACTCTTGGATCCAGAAGTGGCAGCTTCCAACTCTCTAGCTAATTAGCCTGCCAGCTTAGTTGAGAAGGATGTGGGTAAGTGTGGATGAGTTTGTGGGTACTTGTGAGAAAGAGCAAATGTACATTGCAGCCAGTAAAGTTTTGCTGTTAAATTCACTGGGTCTCCGCGTGTTCCAAAGAACCATGTGTGCCTCAGTGTTCAGTTGGAAGTGATTTGAATGTATGTAGAAGAAGAGACAGAGCCTCTTGGAGGGGTGAAGTCAAGAGAGGAATCAGCCTGGAGTCGTTACGTTCCCACAAGTGATCCAAATCCAGCCCCTCTTGAATTTCATTAACTATTATTTAACGCTAATTTAGTGCGGACTGTTAGTTGACTAGATTCTAGTGTGTAGGAATGAGTAATAAATCAACTTAACTGGAATTTAACGTGTGATTCTGATTCTTCACATCTGACCAGGTTGTTGATCAGGGCTGTGAATGTGTGAGTGGGTAACTGTAAGCTAACCCTCCAAGCATGTATAATAGTGGGGCATTTGTAAAAGAGGCCAAACCGGAAAAGGGCAGGGCTATGATGGAGAACATTTACTATACTTGAAGTACCTCTCTTAGGATGTTAAAATTTGAGAGGGAATCCCCAATCTAGAAGATTGGCTGTCAAAGCAGAGCAGATAAAAGAAAGTTTAGGACCCAGAAGAAATCAACAAGTGATGGATCCCAATTTGAGAGAGAAGCCAGGAATCCACCAATCAATAGTTCATTTAACAGCTTCTGAGGGGATGAAATCATCTTATGTGCATTACCTGATTTCAGTGAATTATCATGCTTTGGAATTTGTAATGTTGTCACTGGAAGCCAAGTAGGAAGGGAATGATAAATTGCTCTAGAATAGGGGTATCCAACTTTGGCAACTTTAAGACCTCTGGACTTCAACTCCCAGAATTCCAGAGGTCTTAAAGCGGCCAAGGTTAGACACTCCTACTCTAGAAATTATTATTATTATTATTGTTATTGTTATTGTTAATAATAATAATAATAATAATAATAAAAAAGTTGGAAGGGACCTTGGAGGTCATCAAGTCCAACCCCCTGCTCAGGCAGGAACCCTACACCATTTTAGACAAATGGCTGTCCAGTCTCTTCTTAAAAACTTCCAGTGTTGGAGCATTCATCGCTTCTGGAGGCAGGTTGTTCCATTGGTTAATTGTTCTAACTGTCAGGAAGTTTCTCCTTAGTTCTAAGTTGCTTGTCTCCTTTATCAGTTTCCACCTGTTGCTTCTCGTCCTGCCTTCAGGCGCCTTGGAGAATAGCTTGACTCCCTCTTCTTTGTGGCAGCCCCTGAGATATTGGAACACTGCTATCATGTCACCCCTTGTCCTTCTCTTCGTTAAACTAGACATACCCAATTCCAGCAACCGTTCCTTATATGTTTTAGCCTCCAGTCCCCTAATCATCTTTGTTGCTCTTCTCTGAATTGATATCATTCAATCCTTCTCATACAGAGGCAGTCCTTGCTTAACAAGGACTACCTGTACAATGAGAGATAGCAGCAGGTTGGAGAAGCTGAAGTAGACCAATGATTCTGCAGAGTTGGAATCTCTAGCCTTACCTTTCCCTGTTGGGACCACAATGGGGGCTCCAGCTGTCCACGGGGCAGGAGGCCATTCTCAAGGCAAGATAGGAAGGCCAGGAGATGTCCACCAGGTGGAAAATGGAGTGGGGGCCTCTGGATACCATCCTGACTCACCAGCACCAAAGTCCCACCTTGGTCAGCTGCAGAGATAAATGTTCCTTGCTATTGGCTTCTTTAAAAACAACAGCAACAAAGGTAGTACGGAATTGCAGTCCTAAAACTCAACCCCTGGCTGAAATTAAGCAGGAGCAAAAGTGCATGACAAAGAAATTGCAGAGAAATACATCAATTTCATAGAATCACAGAATCATAGGGCTGGAAGGGAGCCTGGATGTCTTCTAGTCCAACCCCCTGCTCAAGGCAGGAGTCTCATACCACCCCCATCAAATGGTTGTCCAGTCTATTTTTGAAAAAAACTCTAGTGACGGAGCATCCACAACCGCAGGAGGCAAGTTATTCCATTGATTAATTGCTCTCAGTGTCAGAAAATATCTCCTTACTTCTAGGCTGGATCTCACTTGGACAGGTTTCCACCCATTTCTTCTGGTCCTGCCTCTGGTGCCCTAGACTAGAGAATAAATCAATCCCTTCTTCTTTGTGACAGCCCCTCAAGTACTGGAGTTATCATGTCCCCCCCAATCCTTCTCTTTGATAGATTAGATCTACCTAGTCCATTTGTCATACAATTTAGCTTCCAGAACCCTTATCATCGTTATTGCTCTTCTCTGCAGATTTTCCAGGGCTTCAACATCTTTTCTGTATTATGATGACCAGAACTGGAAGCAATATTACCTAGTGCAATATAGAGCGATGCTATCATTTCTTATGACTTTAATCTTATCCCTCTATTAGTGCAGTCTAGTACTGCATTGGCTTTTTTGGCTCATACTTAAGAAGTGGTCCACTAGGATACCTAGATCCCTCTCACAATTACTGCTGCTGAGCCAGGAATTTGAGATCTGCCACCAGAAAAAAATAAGCTGGATACGAATGTTAACAGTAAAGGCTGATATAGACCTGGATGGAATTTCCATTCCAGGGCAGAAAAGAAATAATCCAATCTACAGGGAATTTCTTCAGAGGAAGATGAAGGAGACATCCTACCCTTCAAAGTGTGGTTCAGTTTCAAAGGTGGATCCCTGAAAGGTTCACATAGTTTTAGGTGTATCTGTTTATAGTGGAAGACTTACTTTTATATGAGTAAGCAGACAATTTCTTCTATATATTTTTTTAGATGAAAGGGAGGTGGGAGAGAGAGAGAGATAGCTGCAGCCACTTATTATAACAGTGACAAACTTGCAGCCTATGAAAAATATCTCTGGCCCTCCCCACCAACAGGTGCTCATTTGGGGTGGCATTTTGTTCCAGCAATTACTAGCATCTCTTATTTAACATATTAGTCATCCTGTTTTCTGGACTTCATCAACAAAAGTTCTCCAGCCACTTTAAATTCCTTCTCTGACAGCGAGCAGCTAAAATTGACCTGTACAAGGTTAAACCATCAACCAAATGAAATCAATGCAATTAATTAACAAATTAACACCATTCATTTCAGACAGATTTCATCAATTACTACAACTCTGAGAAACGAAAAGGAGTGCTCTTAAATCACTGCCAGCTTCTTTGGTAGACATTCAAACCCATAAAATAGGAAGACTTACGTTGTTGATGGCAATGGATGCAGACAATTTGGCTGAACGGTACTATCAAGGCATAGTCCCAGTAGATGCTGAAAATGAGATCACAATGACACTGAAGAGTGACAATAGTTGAAAAGAGGAGTTGACATCCAAACTTTTTAAAGTTTGCCAAGGCTGAGAAACATTTGAATCTGACGAAGCAAGCCTCACCTTGCAAAAGCTTGTGGCTTTGAATGAAATTTGTGAATGAGAAACAGATTCTAGCAGACTCCTGGTTGGTTCTTTGCGACCACAGTTTAACACAGCTTTCTTCCTTCATTGTTTCTCTTGAGCAATTTAGAATTTAATAAGGATACTTTGCTGAAAATACTTTGGAATTTGCTAGGACAGGGGTAGGCAACCTTGGCTCTTTTATGACTCATGGACTTCAACTCCCAGAATTCCTGAGCCAGCCATGCTGAGGAGAATGGAGAGGTTTCCATGCTGAGCCATGCTGGCTCAGGAATTCTGGGAGTTGAAGTCCACGAGTCATAAAAGAGCCATGGTTGCCTACCCCTTGCTAGGAGCAAATCTGTCTTTTTTCCTTGCTACCTTTAATTTTTTACTTTAATCTTTTACCCCAAGCAAACCGCTGTTGCCATGCCTTACCTTTTCTCCAGTTCCGAATCGCCCAGGTTCCCGTTCATGAGCTGATTTGGTGTCCATTTCAGAGTTAAAGAATCAGAAGACTGATGAAGAGATAGATATCCTGGAATGGCCTCCATGTCATCTTTCTGTTCCAAAAGTTACCCCAACGGTTATAAGAAAAAAACAAGACAAAAATATTGGACATTTTCTGAAGAACAGGTATTCCTTGGCTTACAGCAACTGAGCTCAAAATTTTCAGCTGCTAAGCAAGAGAGTTGTTAAATGAATTTTGCCCCATTTTGCGACCTTTCTTGCCGCAGTTGATAATAACACAGTTGTTAAGTGAATCTGGCTTCCCCTTTGACTTTGCTTATCGGAAAGTTACAAAAGGTGATCACATGACCCTGGAACACTGCAACCGTCATAAATACATGCCAGTTGACCAGCGTCTGAATTTTGAACACATGACCACAGGGACGCTGCAACAGTCGTAAGTGTGAAAAATGGTCATAAGTCACTTTTTTTTAGTGCCGTTGTAACTTTGAACAGTCACCAAATGAATGGTTGTCCCAAAGGTGCTTTTCCAACTATGGGACAATCATGGGATGACTTGGATGACTAAGAACCTACATAGACACAAATGTTTTGTTAACCTGGGCTTAGAGTTTAATCCATTATAGAGAGGTAAGTATTTTAGAGGAAGAAAGGCCCTGAGAAGAATCGTATGCTCAAAACTCATTTTCTACTTGATAATATGGGGTTGAGACATTGGTACAGGTAATCCTCAATTTATGACCATTCACTTAGTGACAATTTGAAGTTACAACAGTTCCGGGAAAAAAAGGATAGCCCTCAGACCTCAGAGTCCCTGCAGTCATGTGATTGTGATCTGGGTGCTTGGCACTCACATTTATGTCAGTTGCGGTGTCCTGGGATTACAAAATTGCAATATGCTATCTTCCCAGCTGAGAAGTGTGTGTATATATACTCACATACACACACACACACACACGTGTGTGTATGTGGGTATATGCATAATTTATTTTATTTTTTTGTTATGTTTAGGCAGTGTATATTGGAGGTGGTTACCCTTTGAGAGCTGTATGCAATGAACTCTCATTTTAATGTATGCTGATTAGTGTACATTTAAAGTGACAATAAAGTTTCTATCCCATCCCATCCCATCCCATCCCACCCCACCCCACCCTAACATACCATACCATACCATACCATACCATACCATACCATACCATACCATACCATACCATACCATATCATACCATACCATACCATACCATATCATACCATACCATACCATACTTTTGAAAACACAACAAGACTGCTTCTGTGTCTTAGGATTAGTCCATTCAAATGCAAAAATCTCCTGACAATTTTCGTGTAATGGGATTGTGAAAAATGCGTCTTTTAAGTCTACCACTATACCATTCCACGCCACGCCACACCACACACACACCACACACCACACACACACCACACCCCACCCC